ATCCATTCCTCCGTGCGCCGGTGTGTCTCACCTTGTTGTCCCTGGACGTGTATACGACCGGTTAGGTCCGACCCCCTCTATCAGGACCAGCGCTATTATATACACAGCCGGCGAACAAGTGGCTCACAGCGCGTGCGTGTGTACCAGGATGATCGCCCATTACCTCGGCCGAAATAGGGTATTGTGCAAAGAGCCTGTTACCCGCCAGCTTTCCTCCACTTCCCGACCACCGGCACATCGCGTTCCTTCAGACGACCAACTTACAAAATCTAATCACCGGGCCACCAAGACAAAGCGCTTGGTTCGAGCCGGGCTTCATCGCTGAATTAAGTGCAGGCCCTCGGCGCTGACGGGGTTTATCGATATTGTTTCGACGAGGACGATTTCCGGGACAGCGAGTTTCGCCACTATGCTTCCGGCTTCTATGAAATTAGGGCCCGCTGCGAGCGCGGCGATCGTACTCGTCAGATTCGAGCTGGAGCCTTCTTTTGATGGAGGGCTAAAGCCGAGAGAGGTGGTTCGAGGATGGCCTCGAGGGTTCGAGCTCGTTTGTATGGGGATCGAAGGCGGTAAGGGCGAGCCGGTGGATGGTTAGCGGCGATTGTTGGTACGACTTGGCGATGCGAGGATTTTAGCTTTCGAATGTTTGGGGTTGTTCAGGCAGGTTTGCGCTAGTTGCCGCATTGTCTTCCGCTTTTGTTGCGCGGGCAACAGGATAGGTAGGAAGAATCGACACTGATGAAGAATCTTGACGTGCGTGCATGTTTTGGGCGAGTTCATGGGCAATGAATCGTGGGGACGTGTCTGTTTAAAATTCGCGTTATGCTTAGGTGCGTGACGATTGGTTCATTGGTACTGTGGCTACCGCTGATGCTGTTGGTGTGTCGGTATTGTGTATATATACGCTATTTCTAGTCATTTCGCAATTATAATTTTCCCTTTCGCAATTATCGAAAATATACATTTGCTTTTAAAAATATTAATTTCGAGTCATATCGAGATAAATTCATACTTAATATATTTATTTACAGTACGCGATAAAGTAATAACACTTACATGTATAGTATAGTTACATATGTACGCACATAGAATGTCTGGTCTTTAATAATACGGAAGAATATTAACTGCTTGCGTTACGATTTAACACGTTAAGTGCACAGTACGTTTTGCTTGCCGTTCCGTTCAGGCCCAGACTCGGCTGTCAAGTGGGCCACTCAGTGGGTCATTAAACTCAGAGATACTGTACCAATTGTTATAATATGAATTCTCAAACGTTAGGTCCAAAGATGGCGAAGAATTTAACAACAAATGTTAATACCTTTTGGTCCTAGTCTAGGCCTAGACCGGCCGGGCTCGAACGAAGAACAACGGGGATCGGCGTGGCACTTAACGTATTAAGATTCAATAGCGTGGTCCCAAAATGTAAACAGAACTGCCGAGGCTTCGAGCCATTTCACGGTTCGGCAAATCTGTCTTAAGTTATACCAATCGCACACGACTTACATGAGGTGTCGTACCTATTAGAAAAATATAATGTGAGAGAAGTTAATATAATAAATTACAAAAATACAAGTGAAAAATTAAAAACAAACAATAAAGGTTGTTGCGACGGCAATAATACGTTAACCCTGTGCACTCGACGATTTTTTGGCTAGGGAAGAGTAGAAAATCAAAGATTCTCTATTAAAAAACTGACGATACTTTTTTGAGCAGTAAATAAAGAATTGTATAATAATAAAATTGTAGAACTATTTGACTTCGATACCTTGCACACCGTCGCATTACATTAAATTTGTCATATTAATTAATATCGATCTTCCAAATTTTATGAAATGATGATTGAAGCTCACCTCTCGAGTGCAAAGGGGTTAATTATCCTCGACCCCAACCAACCAATCATCCGAACCTTACTTTTCGTATCGCGAATGAAGAGACTGTCACGGCGAATCACAATCAGCCAGCAGCTTTCGTTCACGGTAAAATCTTCCGTGTTCCGACGACGTAGCTAAAAAACTAATCAAGCCAGTCCCAAAATTCCGATGCTAAACGCGAGCTTGCGAGTCAGATGGAGGACGTGACGAAGCGTGAACAGGTTTTTTCCGCGCGACGTGGCCAGTCGAATCCAAAATCGGTAACGAGAAACGCAGAGATCCGTGAACGGATTCTGTTGACGTCAATGGGGTTAGGAAGCACGCGTTGCCCGTCGATGAGATCCTTCCTGCGGGAAATTCGGTTCTACCTGTGCTCTGGGTTGATGTATGCAAATGAAAGCAGCGTTGTAACTACAAAATTTCTGGTCGCCAGCCACTCTGCCTGGCCCGCGAGATTCCGTTCCCTGTTCACGTGGGCTAGACCAACGAAAAAGCCGAACGACGCGCAAGCCCTCTGTCTGGCAGGCTCTCTGTTGTCTGCCGGTTACTTCCTCTTGGAACGCGGTGAACGTGTGCTAGTTTCATTACTTGATTTGATCCGGCAGACTGGACCGTGACAAACGCGGCAGCATGGAACGGCTCCAGAACGATGCAGTGGATAAGAGAATTGTGTTTACTCGTAGTTTGCATACTAGTTACCGCGTTTGCCACCCACTTTACGCGTAACAGGCCCGTAAACATCTTCAGCGGAGGGGCCACTCGAAAGTACGAACCCCTTTGTCCGCGTTTCCTTTCCACCTCCGGCCACTTCCTTCCATTCTTTAACTCGTGCTCTAACTGCCTGGCGCGATCCTCCTTCCTCTATGGCTCGGTCTCCCTTCTTCTTCAGCGATGCCATTGTTTCCAGCAGGGCCTTTGTCGCTGGTCGCAATCGTCCGACGTGCATTCAGTCTGGACAGGAAGCTGGCTGGATTTAGATCACCACTGAGGGGAATTATGTTTAACGATAGTTGACAATAGTCTTCGTCTGGTTATCGATTTTTCCCGATGAACGGTGTTTATTGGGAGTCTGATTGTTTACGAGGTTCGGGTATTACAGGGTTCAACTTTCGGACGTGTTCCGTTTTCTGAGATTCGTTGGTTTGGCTTAGGTTTGTGGATAGAAATGAATAACAATATCTTCCACGATTTTTAACAATTAACGAATTAATTTATTTAGATAACGATATTTAAGTATTGACAACAATTCTAAATAAACTATTTGCAACACAAAGATTGACTCTGTCTTCTTCCTATTTTATTTTAATTTATTATAATATAAATATAATCTATTTATAATCACTCAAGGTGTGTATACATTTTTTTGAGACACACTGTATAATAATATATATAATAACAATATCTACGTGTCTATATATATTAAACAATATCTATATATAATAACAATACATACATAACAATATCGTCCACGTTTTTTAACAGTTAACGAATTAATATATTTAGATAATAATATTTAAATATTGACAATAATTCCAAATAAACTATTTTAAATACAAAGATTGAGTCTATCTTGAAAATTCTTTTCTCTCTCTCTCATTCTTATTAACACATGTTTACTCTATGACAATTCTCACGTAACTGTTTTATTCTAGCACATTCTTCTAAACATTTTTTAACAACATTCATACTAGACTCCACTCGCACATATTATATTTATATCATCCCAAATGACTTTCACTTATTCTACCTCATTACCATTCATACATATGAAACCAACACCCACGCTCTCATAAAACCAGCACTCACAAGGTTCGGGCTAGGAAGAGAAGGGAGAAAATAACGATAGCAATTAAAAATAAAATTTTAATATTTAAAAATTGTCATTAATTTTATGAATTATTTAAAAACTTGTGAAATTTATCATAAATCGAGTTTGTGAAATTTCATGAAATTGTAGGAAAGAAAGACATGTTTCGGTGGAAAAAATGCGTTATATCAGTTCAAATGGAAATAATTAACTCTACCAAATTTGATTCGATTCTAAATCGGAAAATTTCACGACCTCGTGAAATATAAAGGCAGAAATATATTTTACGCAATTTTAAACATGTTTCTGACAGCCTTGAACTTCGACTTGAAGGATACGCAACATGAACAAGCGAAAGTACCGATAAAAAAAGAACGAAATTGAAAATGCATCCAAATCAGCGAAATATTTTTTTTTCCACGGATCAGATTTTCCGATTCACCGTGTATCCACGGTATATTCGAATTTCAACCATGGATAACAATTTAAGATTTTGTGTTTCATACGTTGTCGATTCCATTTTCAACGATTGTTAACATGTCACACGTCATCTTTCTCTCCTCGTCCTTATATTTTAAAAAAAAAGGGGAGAGAAGAAAGGAAAATAAAAAATTATAATATAGAAGAGATTTTCATACTGTTAATCGATTTTGTTGAAATTTACAGAGGGTTTATTTCCCGAAAAAATATTTGTCACGTATTTTCTTTTTATTACTTATCGTTAATATTTAGGGGATGAAATTAATACGAAACTATTAATTCTTCTATTCCAATCTCTAAACACATGTCCATAGGTTATAATAACATACTAATATAATTAATTAACACATAGCGTACCGCCCAACAAGAAAATTTATTTTTAGTTCCTTAAATCATCGATTAAGTCGAAGAAACCTGAAAACGAGATACCTCGTCGCCCAGCCACAAGATTCGGCTTGCTAAAGACGAGATATCTCGTCACAATGCGTTAAACATCTAGTCAATGTCACGCTTCTTTTTATCTACTGAATACAAATGGTTTCACCGATCATGAAAAATTCGCGGTGAATAATCGTGAAATTTTCCTCTCAAATCGAATCTCTCTTATCGAAAATTCGAGGAATGTCTGGATAGCCACGAAACGTAACGAAACAGCCATTTCAGTGGGCCGTGGATGAGCGTTCGGTGAAACTTTTAAGACATTTGCATTTAATTTGACGGGCGTGATATTTTGATTTAAAACAGAGGCCAGGCCGGGTCGATACGCGGGGCCACCAGAGTAATTTCGCGATTTCATTGTGTGTCAAGTCCCATTTAGAACGGCCGGCTATTTTTGCTTGCAGGTAATAAATTCCAGTCAAACCTCAGCGAGATCGGCAAGTCCGAGCAAAAATCGAGCGACCCAGATAGGAAAAGAAACTACAATTGGACCCCAGACAGCGGTAAGCTCTGTTGCTACGTGTAACCGTGGGCTAATTTAAAACGAGACAGCCCGACAGACACTAGGCTAGCATCCCCTGCTTCCTTCTACCCTTCTGCACCCTCTCCTCGCGAAGGATCGCCGATATGTAATGCCTGACATCGGCTTCCTTCCACCCTGCACGCTACCGGTGTTCGTAGAATGATAAGTAGCATTCCGTGATGCATGGTTCCTTGTAATTCGGCTTGAACGAGGAAGTCGATGATGATTTACGTCCAGAGAGGACGTATCTTTGAGACTGTGAGGTTAACGGCGAAATCACTGACCTGCATCTATGGTAGATCGCAGGTAGTCGTTTGTCAAATAGGCTTTTCCTAGGGGATATCAACGCTAGGACTGCCAGAGATGTCGATATGACTTGTTTGGGACTTTTTATTTTCGAAATTATTCGAAACACGAAGCTACTTTCCGCAAAATTGATATTGATTCTGCTTCTGATAGAAGTATACTTGTGATCATAGTTGTGAAAGTCTAACAAGGAAAGTGCAAGTCCTTCGGGTCATAGATTTAGTTGAAACTGTGCAGGTTTGTTGATCATCTAGTTCAAGAAAATGTACCGTTATAAGAACAATTACTCGATAGTTTTTGAGATATTTATGATTAACCCTTTCGGCACAGAGGAGCTGGTACAGGAAGTTTTCCACAAGAATGGTTGCAGTCAAAAATCCAAAAGAAAATTCATTTTCTGTTGCGTTTATTGATATTGAAATAAAATGAAAGTATTTTTGCCATAATAATGAGCAATTGAACCATTCAAATAAACTTGTAGTTTTATAATTTTGTAATTTTCAATATTTTTGATGTTTTGAAAAAGAACATATGTGACTTAGGCTACTTTCATAATAACTGGGACATTTATTATCGTGCCTAGTTTTAAGAAAAGTGGAGAAGAATCTCGTATATACTTACGTGAAAATTGTTTTCATATCTATCAGGTTGAACATAATTATTAATTAATTATTTATTTAATATTGAAAATGAATTGTGAGTTTTATTTTTCGTGAATTTTAATATTTTTATAAAGCTAGAAAAAGAAATCGATTCTTTTTTCGTTTAACGAAGGTATATCTTTAAATACTTTCCTTAGCAGAAGTATGTATAGTTAATTTTGTTAGGTCTCTTCGTGCATAGTAAATTGAAAATTCGTGATAAATTATTATAGCGTCTCGAAGCTCCTAGCGGAGGTCAAGTCCGTGATTAAGTTCTTGTTGAAGTTGAAGTTGAAGTTCGAGGCTCTTGTCGGATTAAGTTCTTGCGAAACAGAACTGAATGAAGGTTTGCGATTAGATTAGTTTTCGGCAGTTTTATTTTTTCGTGGAGTGGTTGCTGAAGTTCCTCGCGTGTTGTGTAAGGTATACTTTTGGAAGTACGTAAGAAGGAAGAAAGTCGTTTCATAATCACTTCTTGGTAACTTTTTACAACGTTGAGTGTCTTAAAAATTTGCTATCCTTGGATTTACGTATTTTAAACTCGATTTTGCCTTTTTTTACTACTGCTTTACAGTATTTTACTATATTTAGTTAAAGCTCCACTGTTTTATTGGCACCAACTTACCTATTTGTAACAAATATTTCTTACATCGTGAATAGACAAGTCAAAGTACAAATTTTGAACGAACTATAATTTTATTTTGAATCTAAAATTTTATTTATAAGAGATATTTATTCCTTGGTTCGATAGTGATAATAATAATAATCAGACTGTACACTTCTTTATTTCTGTATATCTGTAAGAGTGGACTATGCTGTTATTTTATTTTCAAAGAAATATTACACGTGGTGAAATTTAAAGATAGAAGCTGAAAATCAAATAATTGTTTTAAAAGCAATATATTTCACAATAGAGGTCCAAGTAATAAATAAAGATGTTGAAGCATCACTAATGCAGTCTACTTGCTAGAATAATTTGTGGAAAATGGTTTGCTTGTGTAAATAAAATATACAAAAATTTTCTATTGGTTGATGAAAATGAGTTACTAGTTGATAGTCACTGTATTGATATGTATTTATATGCTGAAGAGAAGAGGAAATTAGCAGATCTACGACTTTGACTGATACAGAATGAGTGTATAAGGCAAGTGAAACATTCACTTTTCAAATTAATAAATATATATATTTGCATAAAATTATTTCCATGAAAATTTAGTGCAACACTTTCTAATGTGTCTCATCCAACTCTGATAACTCATGCACTCATTTTCCCTATTACTTTATTATTTTTAAAATAATATATAATACAACCTCATGACATAGATAATATTAAGTACATATAGTGTACTGTATATTATAATAAAAGGCTCTTCTTTTACACCTCTAATACATTAAAGAATTAAGATATTCTTTATTTACACACGTCTTGTCCTATCAAACACTTTTAGTTTGCTTTACATAAATATTATTGTTTCTAAATTCCTGATTAATTTTATAAAAATTCGAATTTATTAGTAAGTAATATTTCTAGCTGTAATTATTAATACAGTTCCTTCTAAAAATAGTGACCGATTATTTCATATTCATAAACACAAGGGACCAATAATAAATAAATGTCTAAATTCTTCACTGACCAAACCCAGTCATTTCACTCAATCTTCTTCAAACCCTATACCTATTCTCAAAAAATATTTAAATATGACGCGAATAACAAAAACCTAATCTCAAACACTTATTCAAAACTCCATCATCCACCATAAGGAATTCAGGAAAGTCTTCATTCCCGCAGTAATCCCAACTTCTAAACCTAACCCAAACACCAACAAGTTCTACTCTGACAAAGAATTGTTCCATTAAAAATCTACTCTCAATAGCCAATCCAACGTTGTCCAAGCAGACGTGGACAGAGGTCCAAGGAGATCGTCGAGTTTGCCAATACTGTCATGAATAACCAGCCAACAACAGGAACAATAATAGCACCTGGAACGATGGACAAACACTGTCTCGACAATTCCTCATCTACCCATTAACGAAACCAGGGGTCGTCTGCAGTGAGAAAAATTAATAATAAGCCCGGACACCGATATCGGTATCTGGCCAGGCTGTTCCACGTGAAAATCGAAGTCTGATATCAGCCCATAGTCGGAGCCATTGAAATCTAGCTTGAATAGGGGCGACGTGGCAAATGAGCCAGGCAAAAAGGAAACAAAACCTCGCCGGCTCTCCGGCGAACTTGCGGTTTATCCGCCACCTCTTGGCACTCCAGTGGCATTTAAATGACAGAGGCTCGAACATCGGCCGCGGATCAGGCTCGGCAGCAGCCAGAATTCCTCTAGGCCCGCGGCATTGCTGAAATATTTCTTTCCAAGCCTGTGCACGGAGACACTCTCGTTCCAGACCACCTTCCCCATCCATCCAGGACCAACCTGGCCTCTTTCAGATCGGACAGAGGGAAGTCGACCCCTACCAACATCGATACACCCGCTCTCTGCAGCCGTGGTTTCTTTTTAAAAGGAATTTGCATAATGGGAAAGTGTGAAAATCCGTTTTCTCCGCGGGCTCGATCTCGATAGTCCCGTGGAAGTAGGTAATTTCGCTGGTGGAAAGCTCGAGGACGGGGTGGGGCGGGACGGGGATGGAAAAAAGCGGGGAAAAAGGAAGGAAAGTGGAGAACGACGGGAACGCGGCTGTGGAACCGCGTCGCGAGCTTCCACAACTTGATAAGTACTTCCAGTTCTTTGGTGGCGAGGGAACCTCGTTGTATCGAAGGTCGAACGCGCGACACCATCCCCTAACCCAGGCCACCGCCTTTAGGTTAAATTCGTTTTCCAAGTGCCGGTCCAGGCCGACCGATATCGAGCTGTTCTCCAACTGTCTCGCGCAGCAATCGTCCGAGCTTGTGCCCCGCGAGTTTCTAAAGAACAAGGGTTCCTTGTACCACCGAGGGAGTTTATTTGATTTCGTTATGCATTCGATTCGGTTAAGCAGGCCGTTTAACCGATCCCTTATCGCGAGTTACAATGGATGATTTGCTTTTTCCCACTTGTCTATCTGCGATTTTTCCGCGAGGGTGTGTTTAGCATATAGCGAGTTTGGGTGGTGCTGGGAGAGATGGAACAGGGGATAAGGTTTAGGGCTGATCGAATGGGAATATAGGGTTTTGTGAAAGAATGTATAAATATATTCGAATTTTTCCTTTTTTAAATTTGTTATTTGACCTCTTCACTTACAATATCGTGTGAGACTCGTGGTAAGGACATCGGGTCAAACATGAGTATCACGTGTTGGGGACGTGGTTTCGTAGATAGGACCCAAGGTAATTAATTAACACGAGTCAGGCTCGCGGATATTCACTGATGTCTTTCGTCTCGGTTACGTGTTATTCTTCACCGTTCTTCATTTTTGTCTCGAAATATTAGAATTTATTTTTATATATTTTATTTACTAGGTTAAATAGAACAATCTTGTTTTGAAATTTTCAATAGGTGACTTACATTTTTCCATTTATTCCTTTACATTTTCTTTCTTTTATAACAATTTATTATGGAAATTTATGGAAAGAATTTGAGCCATACAGAGGAGATATGTAACAGGATGCCAATAATCATTGAACTAAAAAAATTTTATTATTATTATAATTTAAATTTTGTAGAAAAAGGTCAGAATACTAATTACATAGCTATCTGTTCGTATGAAAAAGAATTCAGAAAGAAACTCTAAAATTTAATCCTGATAAAAAAGGAATTAAAGAAGAACTGGAAAAACCTATTGTTATTGGAGGACTATGTTTGTCCTTCATTTGCACGACTATGGTTCACAAATTCTTCGCGAAACGTAACAACAATTCGCTGCTATTAAATTCATCCCTTAAAGTTCATCGATTCACCCATCCTCACCTTAGAATTAATAATCTCGGCGTTATATCTTACTCGATCGAAGAAAAATACTCGTTTAAGTTCCAATGCGATGGAGGAAAAAATTTAAATGATCCGGGAACGGGGAACGCTACTCATGAATTATCTGTCCGGTTGCCGGAAACTCGTTTTTCAAGTGAAATGGTTAGCGGCATGAAAAAACACGGCGAACAGACAAAACGAAAATGTAAAGTGGATACGTTGGATTGGAACGAAATGTACAAAATCAACATCGTCCCGTTTATTGACAGTAGTTGTCGAGCTCATTGTTGGCCCAACCCTTTTCTGCTTGGTGGTGTTAAAAACATTGTTTTTGCCATTTTAGCCCAAATCATCGTGACCCTCTCGTAAATTCAATTGGACCGTTTCTGGTAAATACAATTTGTAATTTCGACACTTTGTTTTATTTTCTTTTTAGCAAGTGTTAACGTTACTCCATGTATAACACGTTTTCCAGTTCCTGGTCCTTTTTAATTAAAAATATACATAAAATAGTAAGGGATACGCGATGTGTAACAAAGAAAGGTAAACAACCGAAATTCTGACGGAAAAACAACTGTTTCGATGTACGCCAAAGTTTAATTTTCTCGCGTTGAAATTTAGCTTTATTTAAATTACGCGGAAATATTTGAATATTGACAGCAAATTTAATAATCTGTTTATTTACGAAATTAATGTAGGGGATTTGTTGCTATCCTTAAGGGAATAGCACGAGTGTCAAAAAGTGTATTTTTCATTATTAATATTAATCATACATCAGTTATAAAACATACCGTATATTCCAATACATGAAAAGTACAGTATACAACACGAGTTAATACAGAAATACACCTATTGACAACTCAGATCCAAAATAATAATTTACAAATTTTTAGACATTTTTTATCTTTTGAAATACGTAGATCAAAATTAAAAACAGGATTTACAGAAAATATTCGAAAAAACATTTACTATATTTCGATATATATATAAAATATAGTATCTTTGTGTTATTTTTAACGACTGAAAGTACAAAATTACCCTGAGAAAAAGACAAATAAAAAGGAAAAATTTCTTTTGCTCATTTTCATACTTCACGCCATTCCTTGATACAACACAGAAGCCTATACCCGGTATATACTGTTATATAGTGACATGTGTGTATTACGTAAAATATAAAGAAAGACATAAACGAACATCAGAATATAAACACACATAAACCCTTGAAACATGACCTCGACACGAGTTCAGTCAGGAGTCTCTCAAATCACTGAAGTCGTGCATATTTTATTCTAATCCTGTCTTCTAACCAAACGTGTCAACGATCCTGTGGACTGCTCCTGTCACGCACGTTCGAGGAGCATTTCTGCCTAAACTAAATAATATCTCCCTCCTCGTGAACATCAGACATTCTGGACACTTTACTGTTCATTTCCGAAGCCATTTATACATTTCTGAGCAATATGTTACATTGCTAGCAGAACTAGATAGGTACCGAAATGGCGTCGAATTTTCGTTAGGCTAGATATGTCCGCAATAATTGAGACAGTTATAACTCCATTATTTAGCCTAATATTTAGAGAGAGCATTCTTGAAGACATGTCTTTGACATTAAATACAAAAGGAGCCCTGTAAACCTAAATAAGCGTGTCATGGACAGCGAGAAGGCTCCTCTCCTCGTATCAATGACCCTCCAAATTACATTTCCTATGATACATCTAAAATCCTCTACTTAGACATTTCAAATAATCCATTCTCCCCTAGAATGAAACACAATGTAACAAATTAACCTAAACAACTAACTCGAATTTCTTCCTGATTATGGCCGAAAGCCACCCCCTTCGATTTCCCCGAAAATCGCATTCTCCTCGATAGGTATCGACGAGGAACGCAGAAATTAGCCTGGAAAAGGGGAAAAAGGGAAAAATGAAGGAGAACGTCACGGCTCGATTGGCGGCGCGGGAAAAAGGAAGGACGCCACGGCGGTAGCCGCAAAACCGCGTTGCAAAAAGTCGACGAAGAAAAACAGAGGGGCTATAGGAGGCCGAGCGGAGCAAACGCCGGTGCAAAACCGGCGAAACGAGGAACCGTCCCAGGGGTGATTCGGAAGCAGCAGAAGGGGATGGGCGCGCAGGAAGAAACGTCAACGTAGCGACTGCTCCGGTAATCGTGGAACTGAGAAACGGACGGAAAATGAGCTCGAGGAAAGGCTGGCCGTGGGGATGATTGGAAGCGAGGGCCCACCGACTTGTTTCTGATTTGTAATTAGAGATGAGTGGGGTCAGAGGAATACATCTCTCCCGAAGCGAGTAATGGCTGAAAGTATGGGCCAGGCCAGCCGGAAGAATAACCGACTTCCTCCTTCGTTTCACCCTCGTCTGCTCCCTGCCTCGTCTGCTTTTTCCTCCCCGTTTCCCAGTGCTCATCCTTCAGCGTCGACGTCTCGTCTCCACAGAGGAGACGATCCTTCGTGGCCTGCCTTTCCGCCGGAACAACGGTCGGATATTTTCAGTGGCGGCGGCTTCTTGATTCTCTGCAGCAACCCTTTCGGCGCAACTCGCGCGATTTTTACGCTCCTGATCGCGGGACCGTCTAAGCGATTTCCTGCCTATGGCTGCTTCTTGTTTTGATACGCCGGGAAGAGTACGCTAAGAAGGGGTGCTTTCGGGATCTTCCCTTTTGGATTTATTGCACTATTTAGTTCTTACCGCAGTGATTATGGTGTTTTGTAAGGTGCTTTTGTCTTGATAATTCCCAGGGTTTCAGTGGAAGTATCGTATTTGATGATCGATACTTTATTTTTTCTTTGTATTTTGTAATTTATATTGGGGTGGTTTAGGGTATGATAAGGAGCTTCTGTTTTGATAATTGTGAGATTTCGGTGGAAGTATCGTATTTAGTGATCGATATTTCTGTTTCTGTTGGTTTGCACCATTTTTGCAACTTGTAGGACTGTGTTTTAGTATTTTTGGGGTCCTCCCACGTGGTCGTCAATGTCGTGCTGGTGGTCGCAAGTATCCTCGTTGGTAGTGTAGCTTAAAGGGACGGTAGGAAAAGGAAGAAATACGTTTTCGTCCTGGGCCTACTAGTAGACTCATCAGTAAGGCTATCCTAGCAGGTCCTGCCTTAGACTGGGATACTATTGGAAGGTCGCGAAGCTATATATATATAGGAATTGGAGGTTTTCCGATGACCTGTGAGAAAGTCCTCGAAGTCGGAATCCATCTAGTGGTGAGGATGTGAATGATGGTCACTACAGTATTACTCATATGGGATGATACCTTGGTGTGTTACATAATTTATTAGGGAAGGTTTAGGTGGAATTTTCCAGTGGAAGTATCGTATTTCGTGATAGATTTCTCGTTTTCTTCATTTTTTTCTGTTTGTATCATTTTTTGGTGATTAGTGTATTTTGTAATTTATTAAGAAAGATTTAGGTGAAATTTCGGGGTGAAAATACCGGTGATCGATTTCTTTTTTATGTTTGTAAACTTTTTGGTTTTGGTACTGTTGGAAGAAGGAAACAACGCCATCCGTTGTACACAAACGATAGTCCATTGGAGGTCATTAGACATTCAGTAGCCAGTCGTAATATGACCACTGAGCTTTTAACACTCAAATAAATTATAGAGCAATATACTTTTTCGTTATATATATATTGTATTTAATCAATATCCTAATAATCCCAACAGGTACTGCTCATTTGAGATGATGTCTCGTGTAGTACATAATTTAATTTTTATGTATTGTATTACATAATTTGGATGTATTGTACTTGGTAATTGAATATTTGGAATTTCTAAAAATGCTCTCTGGTAATATATTATTTATTAAAATGATGTCCTGGTATCTTAGATAATTTGTTAAAAATGATTCGATGAAAATATCATATTTGTGTAATCATCTTCTTCATAAGAATATTTAAGTTCATAAAAGTAGAATATATAATATTTTTTCAAAGACAAATTGAATAATGTTAAATTTGTCATATTAAGGAGTTGTTATATTGATCAGTTAATAAGTTACTTCTGATTCTTTAATACTTTATATATCTCTTCCACACAAATTTTCAAAGGATCATTATTTTATGCTGTGATTGTATCCAGCTTAATATAATTTGTTAATATTTATTAATATTAGTATAATTTAATACGGTTATATTTTAATGCAATTTATTGTTCTCTGTTGCACTCTTGAAGCTTTCAATATATAAATATTGATGTTGCATGTATATAGATGCCTAGTTACTACTAGTACATACTGTTTCCTAAGAGAAACTACAAAAGGCGAGAATAATATTAACTAATCTTCCAATTTTCCAATCATAAAGCTTTTACTAATTATCTATAGTAGTAGTATTATAGTAGTATACTATATAATAGTAATAGTAATTGTATATTCCCAGTTCAGTAGTAAGCTCTGTGGCTTTAAATATAAAAATAGTTAATAACTAGATATTACCCCACCACGAACTCTTTTTCCTAAAAAATGGAAATCACAAAATATATCCCTAAAATTAAAATTTCATGTCATATTAACCCTTTGCAATCAAGATATGCCCTATAGTCGCCATATGATAAAATTTCAAAACTCGATATTCATAAATATGTCAAATTTGAGATAATGTAATGGTGTGCGAGGTATCGAAATCAAATAATTCTACGTGTTAATTATCATACGATTTCTTATTCACTGCTTAGAAAAATATCGTCGGCTTTGTAATAGACAATCTTTGAACTCCTATCCTTCTTTGGCCAAAAAATCATCGAGTGCAAAGGGTTAATTCGTTCCTCGTCAAAATCCCAAGAAAAAGAAAGAAAGAATTCGAGGAATTCCTATTATTAAATTATTCAAAAAATTCCTAAAAATTTATATTTCTTATTTCAGACGCAGCCACAAACATGTCGACGACAGGGCTGCTCCTGATGGTCGCCCTTATGGCGACGTCGATCATTCGATAAGCGGAGCTCTGGCAGTGGACGCGTTGAACGTCGGGATCACCTGTAATTACGAACTGGATTGAAACCGCGAGACGCAAAAGAAACGCTAGTTAGAAACCGATACGACTGCAGGAAACACGGATAAACATACACACGACTACACACGCACACACGTATATATATATACCACTAAGAATGAAGGAAGATTGACTGAGTAGTTAGTGTCGTATTAAAACCCGGAAGAGGAGGAAGAATTAATAATAAGAATAATAATTACGCGTGCCAAGTCAGTGTAGCGCAGTGTCCAAGAAGAACGAGGTGAGAGGTCGTGCAATAGGAAACGAATTTCTACCAGATTAACCAGTATGCACGAGACGTGGAAGGTAAGAGGGGGTGGCAAATCACAAAGTGCAACGACTATCGCTTTCAGTGTAACATATTGTATAACGCCGTAATGTCGCCGCAGAGACCGCGCCAACGATCTCGAGTTTCGCTGAAAGTCATCAGTCTGTTCGAGTCCAACACTCCATTTTGTCAAACTTCATTCGAGAATTTTTATTTCTCCTCTTTATACAGTGTGGACCTTAGTGGAACGTGACCAACTTCTGTGAATATCTTTAATTGTTTAACACGTTGACTGTCATGATAGTCGCTAGTGATAGATGGTACTAATTTCTTAAATTCATGAAATTTGTTTTATTTCGACCATTTTTTTGAAAATTTTAACTATGTGGATTAACTCGTTAAGTGCCACGCTGGTTCCCAGGGACGAATCGGCACTAGACTTTTCGTTCGGGCCCGGCTAGTCCTCGGGAACCGACCCAGACTAAGACCAAAAGGTGCTAACTTTGCACCTTTAAATTAAATTCTTAATGCCAAATTCTGAATTCAGTCCTAAAATGCCGTTAAATTCTTCGCCATCTTTGGACCTGACGTTTGGAAATTCCTGTTATAACAATTGATACAGTATTTCTGAGTTTTATGAACACTGCCCGCCGCCACTGGCCCACTTGACGGCTGAGTTTGGGCCCAAACTGAATGGTAAGCAAAAGGAGCTGGGCACTTAACGTGTTAATAGAGAATATTGCGAAATAAAAAATGCGCTACTTTTGAATTTTTTTCATTTTGTTGTTTGTTTGATTGTATCCTGAGAATAATGGAAATTGTATTGTGACAATCAACGTGTTAATTATTAGGGAAAAGATAAAGTTATTTTGTCGTAGATGATAGAGTGTGAAGGAATAATTAAGGGATAATGTCAATTGATTTTTGTTAAGTAAACTGTGCTTCTAAAAATAGAAGAAATGAATTAATAAAAAACGAAAACGATCGAATCGCGTTAAATGGTCCACCCTGTATAATATGATTTATATATTATATGATTTCATGAATTCTTTTTCTAGGTATGATTTTATTTAATAAGATAAGCAAGTAGATTAATTGATTTCGAGAAATTTTTTATATTAATTGCAATTTTTATTTTGATATTGAATAATTTTTATTTTCTGAGAGGTTGTAGAGTATATAGAGTATATATTATTTCATTTTATTCTTTGATAATTTAGAAGATTTCTCATAAATTTTCGTTTTGTGAGAATTATAAGTACTACTCTCAAAAATTCGAAATTATTTTATATTTGTGTTATTTTTCATTTTTATTTAATAATTTTGTAACTTCCATATATTTCAGCTTCTAGCAGAATCACGTACTATTTTTATTTGTTTCTATTTTATCGCAATTTAAAAGACTTTCCAAGAACTTTCTTGTGGATTATAGATATTAGAGTATTAGTACTATTCAATTACTACTACTCGATTACAATCAATAGTTGCTATTCAGTTATTAATCAATATACATTTAGTACTATTCTGAAATTCAAAATTGAGAACATATTATTTTCACACGGAATCAAATCCAGCTATAAAATTGGAAACTATAAAACAAACTTCTCAAATTAATTTAAATTTAATTTCGAAAGAACAGTCAATCCAAGTCTCAGATTTGAATGGGCTCCATTATTTCAAAAATTGAATATTTCTGAACCTATTAATATAAAAATGATCTGAAATTACCAAACCACGACTGCTTCCAGTAAAATAAAATAAGGATGCCAGTTTTAGAAACGAATTCCTCTTAGCCAAATACCATCACCTTCTGGATAGTTCAGTTTTCAAGCAAGTCATTTTCATAATTTCATAATCAAGGTTCTCCAGTGGACAGGTGAAGAAAAGAAGGAAAACCAGTGATGCAAGCGTAAATTGTCTCCGCCATCGATTTCGTCCTCCCATTTTTTCTCCTTGGACGATTCTCTTTCTCCTTTTTATCCCGTCTGCGAGGTGTTCCTTCTCCGTCATCCCTTTCTCCCCTTTTCTCGGTTTTTCTCTCTCCTTCCCACCGATCGCCTCGTTTCTTATACCAAATCGCGGATCCCATCTGGATACTTGAGATTAAAACGTCAGATTCGGTATAGAGGATGTTCTTCCATGAAGAAGCAAAGAGAAAAAAAGGAGAAAAAAAGATAGAGAGACAGGGAAAAACGTGAAGGGTAGAGGGATATTAAAGACGGGATATTATTAGTTGCAAACGTCTTTAAGCTCGAAAGATGGAACCCTCGATCGATAATTTAATTTTCCAAATGAGAAAGAAAAATGTGTCTCTTTGTCGATGAATGCTTCTTTACGCGATGAGTCGAGGAATTCAGCAAGCAAAATTGGAGAGTATGATAGATCAGATTTCTTTTGTCAGAATTTTTGTTGCATTTTCTTTCTTTTCCTTCATGAATTGATTCATTCAAAATTAATTGGTAGTCGAAATGAATTTAATTTGGGTTGCGTTTAGATTAATTTAATTAATAGAGGATTAGATCATACGTGTGGACTTCGTTGTATAGTAATTAGCATAATTTGTACATACCAAATACCTTCTTCGTTGAAAAAAAAAATCATAATAATCTTGTATTATCATTGAAAAGCATTATTTTTATCATACCATCTGGAAGCTCCAATTATACATATATTATATATATTCATTATTAATATTACAAATTAACAGCTTCACTGTGTTTAATTTCTTTTTTTTATTTCAAAATTTCTCAAATAATTGCTACATATACACTGCAATATAGTAACGATAATTATAAAATATAGTTTAGTCGATAGCACTGCAGTATTATTAATAATAAAATTCAGTTAAAACGCAGGAACAGAATAAAATTCTAAAAAATATACTTAACATCTCATTCACCTGACTGGATAGATCCTTGTAACTTGCAATTCACTGTTCACTGACCACAGGACCATTCATCGGGGACGGACACGCGTGTTTTATGCTAAGACGCATGCCACGTGTAGCCGTGCAAATGCAGCTTTATCAGTGAAACAAGAGGCAGAACAAAGCCACCCTCCGTGTCGCGTGTGACGACCGTGAAAATGAGCTTGTACCATTCGCAAGAGTGCCAATTACACGCGGCAGGGCGAGCCGAGTCGTTCTCCTTTTGCCTCGATTCGACTCAGTTCTCAGGGGATGCTCGTGTAAAATCAAGCACAACCGGGATGGCAGGTGAAACACGCGTTCTTCTTCCCTTGTCCCACGCATCTTGCTCGAGCTCTTTATTGCGTTGTTTAGCTGCAAAGGCTTTTGTCTTTCGCGTTGGGAAACAAGGACGAACGAACGATTCCATGGAGGTTGGATTTTATAAAAGTTATTTAGCCCCTTGCGCTATGATTTAATCATGTAAAATCAGGCATCAAAGAAATATTTCATTTTAGCTATACATCTGTTCCATCCACGGTAAACTTGGAGAAAAATTCTAGGAATCTTTTGCAATTTTGTGCTTCTAAAATATGTGAAATATGTTAAATATTGTTATATAAATTTATTGCTTGTAACATGTAACAAACGATAGTAAAATCTTTAAAAAGAAGAATAATAAGAATTATTGAAAAATTGTTTGCACATGTATTGAGAGAAAAATCACGATTACTGTGAATGTAAAATTTTGAATGACAGTTTTCAAAATGATCATTTATGCCATAGTAGGTTCAGTAATTATCGTAAGATTTGGCATGTAGAAGTTGTGACGAGTTAGTGTCGTTATCGTAGTGTAAAGGGTTGAATATGTGATTGGTATCTATATGAGCCGTTCACTGCATAAATCGATTAACTCAACTTTTTGAAAAATCTTAAATTTAATTATCAAAGCACTTGGTATAGTCATAACTTTTTATATTTAAAATTATTCAAAAAGTGGAGTTAATCGATTTGTACAGTGAACGGCTCATATCTAAATGATGGTGGTTATTACCACCATATTATTATATGAGGGAAAAATTAATTAGTAGAGATTAAGAGGATGGTCTTTGGAATTTAATTCCTTTCATTTTAATATTTCTATCGTGTTCTCTTGGAAGTTTGTGTCGTAAATTGACTGTTTGAGAATAATATTCGAGAAATAGCAAAATTTATTAATTAAACAAAATCTTTTCGTATGACAGCCATTTCTTAATAATTTAGTACAGGAAGAGTAAGAAATAACACTATGGAAAGTCTTTTGAACATGATCATCTTTCCAAATTTTTTGTTCTTTAATTATCTGAATTTTGAGTCTAATTGGTTTTATTCGATACTTTTATTGTATGATAATATTCAGTACGAAAATCTTTGAAAAATTAGCTGTAGACTATAATTTAATTTATTTCTTATAAACCCAAGTAAAATAGCTTCTAATATTCGCCATAGGTAATTTAGAAATTAAAAAAACAAATATAAAATAGTATCTCAGTTACTTTTATAAATTTTAATCAAACGCTAATTTCCTTACTGCAAGAACAATCTCTCACAATTCACAATCCCATATACAACTGAAGAAACGTACTGATTACAAAGTGTTGCACTCGTACAGACTCGACGACATAATTCTAGAGTAACATAAACCAGGGATCCGCGATTACGAAGAAATTACTCAACCAAAAAAAAAAAAAAAAAAAAAAAAAAAAAAAAAAAAAAAAAAAAAAAAAAAAAAAAAAAAAAAAAAAAAAAAAAAAACAAAAAAAGAAACAAAAATAAAAAAAAAAGACGAAAGAGGAAAGCGACGCACCGAGGCACTTCTCGTCACGATTAACCAAATATTCCTTAGAGTGTCCAAGTCGACTAGACAGCTGCTCAAATTGTACGTGTAATATCGAGAGGGAAGGAATATCGAAACGCTTAAAACGAGAAAAAAAAGAAGAAGAAGAAAAAGAAAGAAGAGATCGAAAAAACAGAGTATATATAAATAACATATAGGTATGAATTTTTAAGTGACGACGAAAACGTTTAGAAATAAAGGAATTTTATTCTTACTGTCGGGGCTTCATTAGTTTTGCGCTAGGTAACGGGTTAAAGCGTTTTTATCGGATCCTAAAAACACCGAAACCCTTTCACGAATAATTTTGCTGGTTTATCGGCGACGCGAAATACCACTCACAAATT